TGAGTAACGTAACGGAATACGTTACAGAATACATTTTGGGGCATGTATTCTGTAATCTGTAATGGAATACATTTTAAAAGTAACCTTCCCAACACTGCTCACAGGTCCTTTCACTTTCTTCCAATTGGTCAAAAAAGAGACAGAGGGCACACACGACATGCAGATGAAAAGTGTCTCGAGACACAGAAAGCATTTCCTTTAGAGCAGAAGGACTGTTTACACCAATGTGATGTCGTAAGTATCAGAATACATTATTTACAATGAAGATTATTCCTGATGTTTTAGTTTTAGTTTGATCTAAATCATGATGTGTATACATACATAAAGTAATAAGATGTGACATTCTCTAAGACATGAAAATCTGATTTTTGAGGTATTTCCATTTTGTTGTGTTGTTTACTGTTCATTTGTATGATTTTTTTTTTTTATTTATTCTCAGGATTTTCTGTGACATTTAAGCTTACTGTATGACTGTACATTACATTTTCTGGTTGGTTGGATTAAGCTTTCCTGTTTGTTATTTTTAAAATGGATCCTGGAATGGATGAGGAACAAAGCAATTTAGAAAGAGGAACAAAAAGTTGCAAACCAGACATTATTTTCTTGACGCTGAGCATCATCAGTTTCCTTGTTCCTGTTGAAGGATTTTCCCTGAAGACTTGCAGAATCAGCTACAGTACAGCCATATGTGTCAGGAGTAAACTCAGAGCTGTTCCTGGAGATATTCCCTCAACTGTGACAGGCCTCGATTTAACTTCTAACAGAATTTCAACAATACATGGATCAGACTTCAAAGATCTACTAAATTTGACTAAGTTAGACCTTAATAGCAACAACATTTTACAGATAGAAAGCGGTGCGTTTGCCAGTCTAAGTTCTCTTGAGACATTAAATCTAAATAATAACAAACTTGTTACACTGGGAGAGAATGTTTTTGATGGCTTGAGTTGCCTCATTGAGCTAAGAATTAATCAAAATCGCATTAAACAAGTGGCATCCACATCTTTTAAGTCCATGACAAGTTTAAAACTTCTGGACATTTCTCATAACAAACTGCACCACATTACAAAAGTTCAATTGATATTGCAACATCTGCCACATCTACAGGAGCTGGTAATAAGCAACAATGATTTAACCACTTTTCAATCATTTGAATTGACAAACAAATCATTAGAAATTCAGTACCTTGATTTGTCGAAAAATCCCCTCGCAGTCTTCAGGATCACTGCCGATGTTTTTCCAAATCTCACCTGGTTTAAAATTGGGAGCCAAGCCAGAAAGAAACAAATGATATGGGACGTGCAAAACAAGACATTTCTTAGTCGTGTTACTACCCTTGACATTAGTGAGCTTCATTTGGGTCTTGGGGACATGGAAAGGTTGTTAGAGTCAGTGAACTCATCATTAACTATTCTGAAAATGAATGCAATGACACATAACCTGACCACACTGATCAACATTTCCTGCACCATCCCAACAATGAGGACTCTGCAGCTTCGAAGCAATAAGCTCAGCTTTGTTAATGCATACTTGTTTAAGTTGTGTACTAATGTAACTGAGTTAGTTTTGACAGACAACAAAATAAAATACATCCATGATGATGCTTTCAGATCCCTTAAAAACTTAAGGATTTTAACGCTGAGTAAAAACAGGCTTCCACTAGTTCCAGCTGCAACAAGGAATCTACCAACTCTTTCAGAGCTGGATCTCAGCACCAATAACATCAGCACACTGGACTGCCATGATTTCACCAATCAGACAAAGCTCAGAAAGCTTTATCTTTATCAGAATTCAATCACAGCTCTGAAACCATGTCTTTTCAAGGATTTAAAAGGATTACAAACTCTAAAATTACAGACAAACCAAATAACTAAATTGAACGGTGCTTTCAAAGAACATTTGCCTGAACTTAGATACCTGTATTTAAATATAAACAAACTCACTGCTATCAAAAAGGAAGAATTTAAAGGCTTACATTCCCTCCAGAACCTGTCATTACACCAAAATCAAATAGAAATTCTTGATCATAAGAGTTTCGCAGGACTGACAAATCTTACCTGCCTTTATCTACAACGGAACTCTATTAAACAAGATAAACTAAAAAAAGATGTTTTCAATCCTCTGATTAATTTAAGAAGACTTGATTTGAGTGAAAATCACATCAAATACAATGAAAGTAGAAATTTGCCTGATCCTCCATTTTCTCAGCTGTCCCATCTAGAGGAACTGCTTGTTTTTTCACAACACCACAGGTTGCATAGTTATCTGCCTGGGAACTTTTTGCAAGGTTTGACCAGCCTTTTGAGTTTCAAAGCCAGGAATATCCATATTGCGTCACTGGACAAAGACACCTTTGTTTACACACCACAGCTGCAATTACTTGAACTTTCTTCAAATGAACTTAAAGAACTCCCTCCAGATCTGTTTTTCCCAATTCCAAACCTTAAAAGCCTTTACATATCCAGGACAGCTCTTTACTCTCTAGAGTTCCTTATAGATGCCAACCTCACAAAGCTGGAGTTTCTACAGGCAAGACAGAATTTATATTCAGTTATCCGCAAAGAAGATATAAAATCCCTACCAGCTCTGACTTATCTGGACCTTCAGGGCAATGGATTCACCTGCAACTGTGATAACAGCTGGTTTCTCTCGTGGGCAATAAATGACAGCAAAACTCAAGTTTATGATGCATATAACTTTACGTGCAACTACCCACAAGAATTCAAAAGTAAGAAGCTGTTGGACATGGACACCCGCTTCTGCTCAGTTGACATGGGCTTTATTTGCTTTCTCTGCACCACATGTGCAATCCTATGCTTGATGGTGGTGTCCTTCACTTACCATTTTATGAGATTGCACCTGGCCTATGCCTATTACCTGTTCATAGCTTGGTTCTTTGACAAAAAGCACAAAAACAAGAAAACTCCTCATCAGTACGACGCCTTTATCTCCTACAACACCCACGATGAGCCTTGGGTCATTGACACGCTCTTACCAAAACTGGAAGGAGAACAGGGCTGGAGACTGTGCCTACACCATCGAGACTTTGAACCAGGTAAGACTGCAGGCTTGAATTCAAAGTTAAATGGTGATTGTTTGACTTGAAAATGTCTCTCAGTTAGTCTGTTTTTGTCTGCCCATCACTTCATTCCAGATTTAAAAAACTATATATAGAGCAATTAAATCTACAACATTTGTTTTGGTGATCCTCAACCTACTTGTCCAACAAAGTTAATATTTTCTTTCTTTTATTTTTTGTTTTTCACATTCAGACACCCTAGTAACTACATTTTAATTTGTTGACACTACTACAGTAGCTTTGCATGGCCTCAATCAAAGGTTTATCGATGTCAGTTCAATTAGGGGAGATCATTTGGAAGTAATGAGCATGATTCATTAATACAGTAAAATTAATCAGTGTATTTGGTGATTAAACATCAGTGACCTGTCATGGAAGAACAGAATCCCATTAGTGACAGGATTCAGGGCAGGGCTCCCTGGAGTCTAGGTACTGGTGTTTTTGCTCTGAGAGATTTGGGCAAGGTGGAGATAGAGTGGAGGTGGGTTGCACGGATCAGAGTCTGAAAGGAAGACTGATGTTGAGCATAGGTTTAAACCACACAGAGCGGTGCTTGACTGGTTCAAAGAATGCAGGCAAGAAGATCAGGTTGCACAATAAGGATATCAGTATTGAGAGTGGCAGTGTGGGAAAGTTGTAGTGATGCAATGAACAGACTGGCAACCAAACACCCAGGACAGCAGGCAGAAGCATGACAGCAGATCTTCCTTATTGAAGTTGCATACAGTTTAATTTACATTTTAAAAATTGCTATTATAAAATTTATCGTTAATTAAAGGTCAGTGGCTTTACAGCACTGTTGCCAGACAGTATAAAAGCTCTGGGTTTGAACCTGCTAGCTCGGGCCTGTCTCATTGGAGGTTTCCTGTAGCACCCTCAAAGATTGACGTAGGATGTAGAGTTATAAAACAGGGTTTATTCTGGTCTTGACAACCCACGAGAACAGGTCGTGGACAAAAACAATAAAACAAAAAACATCACATCAAAATGCAATCTTGTACTTGGTGCCAATCAATCAAAAGTCCTTAATAACAGAAAATAAAACATTTAAAATACACAAACCTTGTTAGCTGACATCCAGGAGGGACTAAACAGTCCTTTATGGCCTTATTAGCTTATTCTCCATCTTTTTTTCTCACTTATTTCTTCTCTTTTTCTAACTTTGAACATTACTTTCTCCATGTGTGGAGCTAACCACAAGCTGCACCATGCAGACACCATGTGTGCTAGCAAAAAAGTGGCTGGGTGGAGACCCAAACTGCAAGCAACTCTACCCTCCATAGTTCACCACCAGGGGGTGCAAAAGAGCAAAATCAGGACATACAGCTCAACAAAATATCAAATGCAAAAGATCTTTACATTACCTGTTCTTCCTATGCATGTGTGGATTCTTCAACTTCTCCCACATTTCAAATACATACATTCAAATTCACTTTAACTAACAGGCCTCTGTGAACTAAAAAATGTGGATGGATAGATAGATAGTGAGACTACCTAACAGCAGATACCTGTTGGAGTACTTTTGATAAAAGTTGTCATTGTTGTGCTTGAAATTGCAAACGTTCAGATATTTTTCTTTCCCTCCCCTACATCTAGGATGGTGGGGAATGCTATTAGCTATGGTGTTTAACTGCAGACAATTGCATGTAAGGTACTGGTTTGCTTATTTAGTAATGAATGTTTACTTCCTGCCATTTATGGGCTCACCTGTGCTTGTATATCATCATCATCATCATCAACTTTATTTATAAAGCACTTTAAAACAACCACAGCTGACACAAAGTGCTGTACATTGGAACTGTAAAATAAAATTACATGAGATATAAATAAAAACCAAATAAAAGAAGATGGACCGTTAAAGGAGTTAAGCCATGTACGGGGGAGATGACCCTTTTATGACCAGCAGGAAGTCACATATACAGAGACACACATGCACACATGCACACACACATGCGCACACACGCACACACAGTGCCTTAGCTTTTATGACGTACCATATGGGTTTTACAATGGTTGTGTGTCACTGAATAAAAGGCTGCGAGGGGATGCTGGTTTTTAGGAGTTGGCTGGGATCAGGTGAGGAGCTTTCAGTTCCAAGATCCTGATCTGAACGGCTTCCCTTGCAAGTTGAATGGTCTGAGCTCTAAGTGTCTTGCTTTGTTCATGGGGATAAGTCTCTGAGTCAGCGAGTGCAGACCTAACAATACCTCAAGATACTTTCATATGTACTCCGGAGGGTGTCACCATAGTACTTACATGACCTACTGAGGACAGCCACTGAGTGTAACATTTTCTCTTCTCAGGGAAGCCCATCATAGATAACATCACGGATGCCATTTACGGAAGCCGGAAGACCATTTGTGTTATCAGTCACAAATACCTTGAAAGTGAATGGTGCTCCAGAGAGATCCAGGCAGCCAGGTAACCTGTTGGCTCCTTCAGGCAATGTATCATACATACAGTGGTATGTAGTGTGACTTTGTAGTGTATCTAGACTCATGTGTAGATACACTACACTTAATCTAGACAAATATTTAATCATCCAATCACAAGTCAAGCATTTAATCATGTAAATATGATCAAGCTGAAGTTCAAACTGAGCGTCAGGAGGAAAGGTGAGTGAAAGTGGCATGGTTTTTTTATTTGAGTGTTTCAGAAACTGCTGATCTACTGGTATTTTTCCCACACAACCATCTCTGGGGTTTGCAGAGAAAGGTCTAAAAAGATAAAATATCTATTGAGTGGAAGTTTTCTGGGTAAAAATGCCTTGTTGATGGTCAGAGGAGAATGAATAGACTACTTTAAGCTCATATGAATTGAACAGTAATTCAATCAACCACTTCTTACAAACGAGATATGCAGAAGGGCATCTTTGAAGGCACAACACATTGGCATTAAAGCA